TCATATATAAATATATTTGCATATGTACATGTCTTTATCTAGACCTCTATAAATGCCCTTTGCCTCTTAGCTCTTTCTTCTATTTCTTTTTTGATTATTGTTTATTCTTTTATTTTATTTTTTTGTGTGTGTTTATTATTTTGGCTATTTACAGTACTTTCAATAGTCTCCATTAGCACAATCATTCAAATGCATCCATTTTTCTTCAGTCGTCCTTATGCAATGACCACTTTCACGTGCACTCAAGGAGATTGAAAGTACCATGGCCTGGGTCAGGTGCACTTAGTCTACAAAGTGGCATCCTTGCTCTTCACCACTTTTTTAAATCATTTTATTTGGGGCTCATACAACTCTTATCACAATCCATACATACATCAATTGTGTAAAGCGTATTTGTACATTCATTGCCCTCATCCTTTGACTTTCCTCTTGTCCCTTCATCATGCTCAGTCTTCATTTGGGTTTCAGTAATTCTGCTTGGTTACGTTACCCTTGATCACACCCTACCAGGCCTCCTACACCCTCCTCACCTTGGATCACTTGTTGTTCCCTTGTCCCTGGGTTTGTTAACACCACTACCTTTCCTCCCACCCTCTCCCATGTCCCCCTGGAACTGTCGGTCCCGTTGTTTTCTCCGCCAGATTGTTCATCCAGCCTATCTTATTTAGACAGACTTGTGGAGATAATAACATGCACAAAAACAAGACAGAGCAAAACCAAGCAACAATATACAACAGAACAACAACAACAACAAACCAATGACAAAAAACAAAACAGAACACAACAAGAAAGAAAAGCTTGTATTTAGTTCAAGGACTGTTTGTTGGGGTTTAGGAGTGTTTTCCAGTCCAGTTTGTTGGGGTACCATGCTCTGGTGCCAAAGTCCTCCATCAGCATTCCCTGGGGACCTCCGCGCTCCGTTCCCTTGCTGTTCTGTTCCACCCCCTTAGTGTTTTGCCTGGGTGTGGCGGGATCAGATCGGGCACAATTCCTACATTGTGTCTCCGGTGTGGTCCCCTGTAGGGCAATGGGTCAGTGAGGGACATCGTGTCTCATAGTGGGGCCAGCCATGTGGTCCTCTCTGTGGACTGACTGGCTGCTCTAATCGTCCTCAAGGCCTGGTGGGCCAGGATATGTTCCACTCTCTCCTCCTCCCCCTTCATCTGCTCCCGTGTGCTCCACTCAGATATGTCCCTCTCCCGGAGCTGCAGATCCAATGCCGTCATTTGAAATAACTTCTTCTGGGGGGAGGGGCAGGTGGACACGTAGTAGTTGGGATTGGGGCTGGCCCCTCAGACCTCTCCACTGGTTCGCTACTCCACGCCGGCCTGTTGCGTTCACATCTTGAGCACTGGGTTGAAGTCTGGTCCCTCTTTCCCTGTGGAGATATAAACAAGACCCTCCCCCTGGGTGCGTTCGTCCCCTGTATCCCCAGCTCCCCATTTCTTTTTTATTATTTGTTTTTCCTTTCCCCACCTCCCTTTTTAGTTGTCTACAATATGTATCCCTGTATTTGGTCTGGTCCCTGCCATACTACCTGGTCCTCACCCCAGGAGTGTTTGTATACAGTAGCTTTTTCCCTATGTCCCTTTTGAATTATTTTTTAAAAGCTTACCTCAGCGGACTCATGTTGTATTTGTCCTTTTGTGCCTGACTTACTTTGCTTAGCATGATTTCCTCCAGTTCTTCCCATACAGCAATGTTCATCACTGATTTTTAGCAACGCGTAGTACTCCATTGTATGTATGTACCACAGCTTTTTAATCCACTCATCAGTTGATGGGAATTTGGGTTGTTTTCAACTCCTTGGAATTGTGAACTGTGCCGCAATGAACATTGGAGCACAGTAGTCTGGCCTTGGTTTGTTTCTTGCCTCTTCTGGGTATATGCCCAGCAGGGGGATTGCCGGGTAAAATGATAACTTGATTTCCATCTGTTTTAGATATTGCCATATTGATTTCCATAGTGGCTGTACATACTTACAGGTCCACCAGCAGTGGATGAGAGTTCCTGCCTCCCCCCAGCCCCTCCAGCACTTGTTGCTTTCTGATTTTTTGAATAATTTTCATGAGATCTACATATACTTGATGTAAATCCACCAAAGTTGGGGAAATGAGAGTTTAGGGAACTCTACTATTGATCATGATAGCTCAAAGAAAAGCCTGAGTGCTCCACTGCGTGTACTTGATGGAAGGTTCGTGTGCATTAAAGCAGAACCCCCTTTAGAACCTCGCAGTGGTTCTCAACCTCCTAGTGCTGTGACCCTTTAATACAGGTCCTGATGTTGTGGTGAACACCCCCCCACCCACCATAAAACTATTTTTATTGCAATTTCACAACTGTAATGTTGCTGCTGTTATTAATTGGGTGACCCCTTTAAAAGGGTCGTTCGACTCTGCTGTTATTAATTGGGCGACCCCTTTAAAAGGGTCGTTCGAACTGGAGGAAATCTGCTAAGATCAGAACCACTGATCTAAAGGAGTAGTGGCCTTACAAAAATTCATTCTAGAACTCACTGCCATCAAGTTAATTCTGACAGGCTCTATTGCATTTCGGTGATATTTTATAATTCCTTGCTTTATTTACTAATAATGCTTGTTTTCTAGTGGAAAGACTGGGGATTAGCAGTCTTTGGTGGTATGGGGAAAGCAAGCTGCCATTTTCATCAATGCACAATGGTGATTGAATATCTTGCTTGTGAGTAATGGTTTTTAATCCTGGCCATTGCCAAATTATTTATATCAATTATCAAAGAGCTCCCAGTCTCAGAGAAGGATGCAGATTCAAACTTCTGATAAGAATTTTGAAGATTCGTGTTTGCTACAGCGGCACATATACTAAAATTGGAATGATACAGAGAAGAATATCATGGCCCCTGCCCAAGGATGATATGCAAATTCATGAAGCGTTCCATATTAAAAAGAAAAGAAAAGAATTTTGAAGACTCACCTGAAATCTTCTCATTTGATAATGCAATTGGAGTGCAGTTCTGGGATATCCATGAACTCTGTTTCCCAAGGTATGTAACCTGTAAGTCTAGAGGATGATGCAGATGATTAATTTCTTTAGCTATAAGAAAGCTTGGCGTTTAGGGATTTCGAAGACTTAAGCGTTTAAAATTTCATGTTTTCATCTAGCATGAGTTGATGGTCCTCATTTAGCTGTAGTTTGATGCTGAGCATAATAACAATGTTTCCATTTTAGAACTATTGTGAGGAATAGAGATATTTATGTAATGTAACTAGCACCAGTCCTGCTCTGAGGGGACTTGAAAAAGAACATGGAAAAATGAAATTACAAGATCATTGAATTTCTTGCAGTGAATTTTTTGCATATATAATTTTTTTGCATATTCAAACCCCTGTCCCTCAGGGGCAGAAAGATGACATTATCTGTTCCTATCAAGATTTGCCGTCTTGGAAACTCTGTACAGGGTTGAGTGAAGACAGAATCAACTTGCTGGCTGTGGGTTTGTGTGTACAAATGTATGCACAGTACTGTATCCACCGTCTCTGAATTGATGCTGACTCATGGCGACCCCATGTGGCAGGGTGGAACTGGTCCTGTGAGTTTCTGAGACTGTGACTTTTTAATGGAGGAGAAAGTCCCACCTTTCTTCCGTGAATTAGCCGGTGGTTTCAAACTGTTGACCTTGCCCATAGCAGCCCAATTCATAATCACTACCCACCAAGGCTCCTTATAAGAATATATGGAGATTTTCAATACATAAGTTCTCCCTCAATGCAATAATACTTTGTTCTATTAAATTGGCATTCTATGATGCTCACCTTCCCGACACAACCGCTGAAGACAAAGCGGGCAAATAAGCAAATGTGGTGAAGAAAGCTGATAATGGCCAGCTATCAAAAGATATAGCATCTGGGGTCTTAAAGGCTTGAAGGTAAACAAGCGGCCATCTAGCTCAGAAGCAACAAAGCCCACAGGGAAAAAGCACACCAGCCTGTGCAATCATGAGGTGTCCAAGGGATCAGGTATCAGGCATCATCAGAACAAAACTCATATCATAGTGAATGAGGGGGGAAGTGCAGAGTGGAGACCCAAAACCCATTTGTAGGCCATTGGATATCCCCTTACAGAAGGGTCTCGGGGAGGAGACAAGCCAGTCAGGGTGTGGTGTAGCAACGATGAAACATACAACTTTCCTCTAGTTCCTAAATGCTTCCTCCTCCCCCACTATCATGATCCCAATTCTACCTTATGAATCTGGCTAGACCAGAGGATGTACACTGGTACAGATAGGAACTGGAAACACAGGGAATCCAGGGCAGATGATCCCTTCAGGACCAGTGGTGTGAATTGTGATAATGCGAGAGTGGAGAGAGGGTAGGTTAGAAAGAGGGAACCGATTACATAGATCTACATGTGACCTCCTCCCTGGGGGATGGATAACAGAAAAATGGGTGAAGGGAGATGTTGGACAGGGCAAGATATGACAAAATAATAATTTATAAATTATCAAGGGTTTCATGAGGGAGTGGGGAGCAGGGAGGGATGAGAAAAAATGAAGAGCTGATGCCAGGGGCTTAGGTGGAGAGCAAATGTTTTGAGAATGATGAGGGCAATGAATGTGCAAATGTGCTTTACACAATTAATGTATGTATGGATTGTGATAAGAGTTGTATGATCCCCTAATAAAATGATTAAAAAACCAAGAATACTGTGGAATAGTGTGTGGTGCAACACTCTTACTTAGGTCACATCCTTGGTCCTATGTAAGGGCGTGGCCTGCATCACCTTCTACACAAAAGAAGAGAGAAATTAGCAGAGGAAGGGTCTCAGTACCAACAAGAAAGCAGAACCGGGACTCCGAGACTTAGCATTGCGAAATGTCATTCCTCATGCCAAGGTACATGGAGATCTCCAAAGAACACAGCTGTTGAAAGGAAATAAAGACCTTCCCCGAGAGCACAGTTGGCCCACCTGCATTTTGACTTCTAGCCTCTTAATTGTGATAATAAATTTGTTTATTAAAGTAAAAAACATTTTTTAGTAATTTATATAATAAGTAGACAAATCTTTATTATAGATGTTGGAGACTGGAAAAACGATAAAGCACATTGTGCTGGCTGGCAGTTATAGACAGTTGCACGGTATGACATTCTACTCAAATGTCTCTGTATTATTCATGAAGAGAATTTATGATGGTCCACAAAACAATTCTCAAAACATATTAAAAGACTCAAAAGATTAGATAAGTCACTGAATGTATGTTACTAGAGAAAAAAACAACTCAAGAAAGTAGGGTGAAAAATTGTTGCACAATTAGAAGTTTATAAACAATGTTACTGAATTGTACATGTAGAAACTATTGAATTGGTGTATTGCTGTGTATAATCTCAACAACAAAATTAAGTTTAGAAAAAGTAATAAGACTTAAAATTATATCATCTGTGCAAAACAAAATTAAACTTAAAACCAATATTAAAATAATATCTAGATAATTCCAGAATAATATTAATGAATCAATAGACTCTTAAATAATCAATGTGTGAATGAAGAAACCACATGGGAAACTAAAACATAGATTGAATTAATTATAATCAAGCTATATCAAAACCTGTGGAATGCAGCTAAAATAGTATTTAGATAGAAAGTTGTAGCTTTAAATAATTTGTATTACTTAAGATTATAATAAGAAAGAAAAGGAGAGAAAAGTAACCAATGAAAATGGAAGGAAGGAATTACTAGAGAACAGAAATTACTGAAATAGAAAATGAGGACATGATAGAGGAATTTTTAAAAGCCTAACATTAACCATTACTAAACTTCTAACAAAAAGATTAAGAAGATCAAAAGAAACCACCATAGAACAGATTAAAACTTTCAAGAATAAAGAGAGGCCATAACTGAATGTCTTACAAAATTAAAAAATATTAGAGAATAAGGGGTATTGTTTAGGACTTTTCCACGTTAAATCCAACAATTTAAGATAAATTAATAAATTTTTGAAATCACTATCTACCAAGACAAATACAAGAAATTAAAAAATCTGTTTAGATCTATAATAAATAAATTAAATTACTGTTCCCAAACTTCTCCAGAAAAAAAAACTTCAAGGGGAGGTTCTGAGAACAAAAATGAGCAAGATGCATTTCAGAAATGTTAAACAGATTAGGATGTGTATTATTTGGGTTATATCATCATCTGGTGTTCATTTTATAACATAACCCTATTCAGAGAGCTTTATAAATCATCATAGTTAAGCTTAATTTAAGAAAAGAAGCAATCAGAGATTATGTGTCTTTGTAGGTGGTTGATTAATGGCTTATACTCACACATTTTAGAACAACCTGGAACAGCATGAAATATATTTTAATTTTATCCTGAAGAATGCCTCACATTCACTGCAAAGTCACGTGCATTGTGCTTTGTTGGGTGAGGTGTTCGGCGTGTCTATGAGGCCAAGTGGGTCAATGGGGTTGCTTCAATTGTCTGTGTCTTTGTTGAGTGGCCAGCCAGTTGGTCTGCCCTTGATTTGATTGCCCTGTGTTAGGGGCCCCACTATTATGATGGAATTGTCTATTGGTCCTTCCTTTCTACTAATCTTTTAGTTATGTGTTTGGGGCTCTTACATTGCTTGCATAGATCTGTATTGTGATGCATAGAGATCTTGTTGATGGACTGACCATTCAATCATCAGATGATTCCCTGCTGTATCCTTTATGCTGCTGATTGCCTCCAGGTCTATTTTGTGTCAGAAATTAAAATATTCACTCTTGCTCTTTTATGGCTATCATTTACTTGATATAACTTTGCATCCTTAAATTTTATCTTTATCTTTGTGTCTAAAGCATATCCCTTATACGGGGCATATTGATGGGATTTTTTTTATCCATTTGGATGTTCCCCATCTCTTGATTGCTGCTTTTAATTCATTTACATTCAGTATAGTTATATTATTCATAGGCATGAATTTACTGCTGTCATTTGATTGTGTCTTCCATTGTGGTGCTAATGATATCTTTGTTCTGTATACTCAATATTCTTCACCCACAGCATTCAAAGGCACTAATTTTTATTTTATCTTCTGTTTTCATTGTTTAACTTTCACTTGCATACAATATGATCGAAAATAACTTGGTCTTCAGAGTAACACCTTCATTTTTTAACACAATACATGAAGAGATATTTTGCAGCAAATTGGTTCAATACAGGAGTCCTTTGAATTTTTTATTGCTTCTTCAATGTGCATTGATTCTGGATCAAAGTAAAATGACATTCTTTACAGCTCCATCCTATTCTCTATTCAGATGTTGCTTATTAGTGTAGAAGTGAGGAGTTTTGTGTGCTTTGTGTTGAGCTGAAATCCATAAGGAAGTCTTTATCGCTGAACACTTTATCTCTTTGTTTTCAGTAAGGAAGATTAGCATATGCATATTACAGTTTATTAATGATCTTCCTTTAAACCTGTTGTTAAGTTCTTCATCATATAGTTTATTTTCTTAGATTAATTGCTCAGCATATGAAAAGAATAAGTATGGTGAAAGGATACAACCCTGACATAAACCTTCCTTGTTTTTAAACTACCCAGGATTCTCTTGTTCCGTTGGAATGACTGCCTCTTGATCTTTGTATATGTTATGCATAAGCATAGTTAAATGTCCTGGAATTTCTACTCTTTTCAATGTCATCCATAATTTGTTATGATCCACGGAGTCAACTGCCTTTGCATGGTCAATGAAATACAAGTAAACATCTGTTTGGTATCCCTCATTTCACCCTCTCTGAATCTGGCATGGATTTCTGTTAGTTCTGGGCCACTGTACTGCTGCCACTATTTTTTTTAGTCATTTTATTAGGGACTCATACAACTCTTATCACAATCCATACACACATCAATTGTGTAAAGTGCATTTGTACATTCATTGCCCTCATCATTCTCAAAACATTTCCTCTCCA